GCTCTCTGTCTCTGTCGCTCTATATTATGCATTATAGTCATTATAGATATTGAAACAGGTTTTAATCACGCAGGTGAGCTCAATGGGTCAATTATGTGACCCACTGAGCTCACCTGATGCAAAATGTCAGCTGGGCTGAGGCACCTGGGAAGATCTCAAACCTGCACTGTAGGTGGCAGACAGTTGGTGTCGTAAGCCACCCTTTCTGTTCATAGATGGTTGTTAACAGTGGACATAGATGGCCTCTTTCACTCCTCTTTCTAACAATCTCTCTTCTCTGTCAAAAATGTAAACATTGGCATCCTCAAAAGAGTGACCTATGACCTTTTGATGCAGGTAGACAGCCGAGTCTTGTCCTGTCGAGGTGGTTGTTCATGCATTCATGGCTGTTTGGTTTTTCCGATTTATATATCTCTCTACAGATCAGACCTCGTTGCACTGCACAGCAAACACTATGTTTTTTAGCTTGTGTTTGGTTTTAGCTTATGTTCAAGTTTTCTCCTTGGGATGAACCAGTTTTTGTCTGATGGTGTGGCTAGGTCTGAAGTGTACTGGGATGTTGTGCTTGGAGAACATTCTCCTGATTTTCATGGATAGATCTTTTACATAAGGGATAACAAGGTTGTTTCTCTCTTTTCATAAGTTGTTTCACATGTTTTCTTTCACCCAACCTCAGCTCACCACCTTGGTAACAGGGCTGCCTCTTTGCTCTTTGTGGTGTGTAGCCAGACTCCTATGTTATGCCAAAAACTGATCATCTGCGAAAAAGTGATTTCCACTACGTTTTTTATGTGTAAAGTCTTTACATATATTAGTAAATAGACTTCAGTGACCAGGATTTACAAAGGTGTTATATATAATATATCGAAATTACCTGTTTTAGCAAGTATGTTAATGACATGTTAATTTACATTATAACCAATCCAGTCCTTTTTGGCCAATTAAAAAATCTTTGTCAAATTATGGTTATATTTATATATATATATATATATAGGATAGCTGCAATCACCATATATATATATATGGTTATATTTGTTGCATTTTTTTTAATGTCAATGAGACCTTTTAACAGGATATATAAAGGATATATGACAGCAATTTAAATACAGGCAATCACTTTTTGACAAATGCACGAAATCACTTTTTGGCACAATACGAGCTAACCGTGCCAGTGTCATCACTGCTCCCATTGTGTTATCAGTGGTTTTGTTTAATACTGAGGACTGCATATGCTTAATGCTAACTTTTTATTCATACGTTGCTCCTACATACATTTGTATTACACATTGGTGCTCTACAGAGCCATGCACTGAAGACAATAATTTGTGTTGAGAGGATTCACTGCAACCCTGCTTGTTACGTAAAAAAACACAACATGTACGTGTTAAGGAATTTATGGCTTCATTACATGTCTCTGCATTACTCAGTTCTGGCTCAGTGCAATGACTAAAAAGTACATGGCAGAATATGTGCAGTAAGAGTAAAACATATGCAAAACTTCAGCATCAGCCTCAGATTTCCAGCTGTGCCAAGACAGGATGCATTAAGGACACTACTCAGCGTAGGAGTTCAGAGCTGAATAAAATTAATGTAAGCATGAATTTAGAACAGATTTTAAATGGGAAGTTGCACTTAATTATTACCATTACAAATTAACAAAAATGCTTTTCTTTGTTTAATTATTACTAAACTCATAGAATAGAATAGAATAGAATAGAATAGAATAGAATAGAATAGAATAGAATTCAACTTTATTGTCATTGCACATGTCATAGGTACAGGGCAACGAAATGCAGTGAAACTTTTTTCTATATTTCCTTCAAATTTAGAGAAATAGGTCAAGTTTCATCTCCATTGACCTTATACTGTAAGATGTATGATCTGTAAAAGTATAGAAAAATGCCAGCTTACCATATCAACTTCAGAGATGCTGTCCAAGCTCTCCACCTGAACATCCACTCCAACAGGGATTGCAGGACCTGCCAAACAAAATTCCATCATGACCAAATACTGTAGTAGACTATATAGCCTAAAAACACACACATCAGTAGGGATGGACATTAATAATGATTGATAACAACTGATTGCATTGTCAATATCACTTATTGATTCATTTCCTTACGGATTCTCCGTGGCTTAGCTTTGAGCATCACCACCATTGCTAAACAACATAGACCTTGCATTTGTTCAAATTAATTGCATGTTGTGTGGTCAAATATTTGGGCATGTTGGAGGCATTTGCCTTTTTTGTTGTGATCAGTGTTGGGGTCATTATTCAAAAAAGTAATTATTACACATTTTAAACAAAAGGAGTCATTACATCTATGCCTGTCCTATTTGGCCAAAAGGTTACGCCCACCTGTAAAGGAACAAGTACTGGTGGGCCAAATCTCTGGCTCTCTCAGTCCTCTGCACCTCATGATTCATGGGAAGACCCACTCTGTCCAAGCGCTTATTGATTTGGGTGTAGAGCAGTGTTTCATTGATAACTCCCTGGCACAAAAATGAAATATTTCCAAACTCAGCCTCGTGCCATCCAGGTCACAGTTTGAAATGGTCAACACTTGCCCGATGTCACTCTTAGAACCAAACCCAAACCCTATCCGTTTCTAGTAATCACACAGAGCGTTTGTAAGGCATTATTTTTGTGCCTCTATTCTGAGCGCACGTAAATAATTTTTGCAAGAACAAATGTTGCATTTTGAGGAGAAAATTATTTTGAGTGAAGAAAAGCTTAATTTGAGTGAAATGTCGATAAATTCAGTGGAGTGGTTTGGTTTAAAATATATTAAAACCAACGATGGTCTTAAAAGATGATATATTTTACAATAAAATAAATTAACATGCTAACCGAAAATGGTTTTAGCTAAACTTTGGACAGTGTTTCCGGAATGTAGTCAATAGCGAGCCGATTGGAGACCACAACAACCAATCGGAATTTTTGCATCCAAGTCTGTGAGTGGTTGGTTTTGTGGCACATTTATAACGGAGTACAGAAAGAGTTGAGCGTGCAGGGAGCAGAGATGTTGAGAGCTGGAGCGACACTCTGAGAGCAGGTCCACAGATGTCTGTCAGCACACAGAGCAGAGATGTGAGGGAGAGGGCTGTAATTGTGCGTGTATATGGATAGTAGCAAACACTGAAATACATTTCTTGCACGCAGCAATGAATTTTGTTCACACAAAATATTCTCCTTAAAATGCAGTATTTTTACTTGCAAAAATTATTTACGTGCACTCAGAATAGAGGCACAAAAATAACGCCATAGTTTTGGGCCATCCTTAGCTAGAACTACACAACCCCTGTATCGACTGGAGAAAGGATCGCATCTCCTGTTGAAGTAATGACTGCCACATGAACCATCTAAAATCTGTCACTCTGTCCATTAGCACTCTAACTCCATCACTGCCTCTCCTGATCTGGCAGAGGTGTCCAGGAATCATCTGGCTCTGTCTCTTCCCCCTCACGTATGATTGGAGGAGGATCCTCACTTTCCTGCAACCTCTCCTCCAATCTCGTTTGGTGACCCACACTAATTAGGGATGCTAGAGAGTATGTTTCAGTCTATTTAACCTGTGTGAAGAATAAGTCTGCTAGTTCCCCTCCTGTAGGCCTGCTCAA